CGGCGCAGTTTAAGGATAGGGTGGAGAAGGTGGTGTTGTGCTGCGCTGGGGTGTGTTTGGAGGACAAAGATATGGATATGGGAATGTTTCAGGTGAAGAGTGTGGATGAGGCTGTGGGCATTTTGTTGCCACAAACGCCGGATAAGCTTAGGGAGTTGATTCGTATTTCGTTTTATAAACCCACCAGAGGACTACCCTCTTGTTTCCTCAACGATTTTATCCATGTGAGTTTACTGACTTCACATTTTGATCATTGTTTCTCAACATCTTTTGCAATTTATTGGAAGCAAAAGATCAAAACTTTACCTTTACAAAAGCATGATTATGGTCACCATATGTTGTCCTAAAATTTCCAAGCTTTGTTAGTGAATTTATATCTCATATTGTTCACAATTGTCAACTTAATCATTGTTAGGATTAAGAATTCTGAAGTTTATTGGCTCAATTAACTGCTTGATTTATGGGGACATTGTATAATGCAATGCAAGAAAGGTAGTAGGTGCTTGAGTAGATGCTGAACGACAGAAATTCATGCCACTTTGTTTGGCTTTTCCCTAATGGTAGAGATAGGAAGCATAAACAACAGAATGAGTTTCTGATAACATATTCCTTAACCATACAAGGTGATGTGAATTATATCTTCTTATGCCACTTTCACAGAACTTAGAGTAGCGGAAATCAATCTTGATCTTTTTGTTGAAAATTTGATGATGCCTATCCATTTTTCTCACTTTCTTTTGTTTATGATCCTTGATTTTAACAGATAGATGGTTGAATTTCTGGTAATTATTGCTGTTGAGCATTTTGTTTAGCCTCGTGTCTTACATTCTGTTTGTCATGTTAAAGTAGCAGTTATAAATTCCCTTTCAATTTTCCTGGAAATGTGTCCTTGGAGTCTGACAAACATCGATCTAGCATTTTTCTCCTCTGCATAGTTCTTCTACTTGGTTGTTAACTTTTATTTTTGCTTGGTATTGATACACTAAGGCAAGGAAGGGGTATTTTTCAAGGATAGTTCTTCCTGAAGTTTGTTTTGGAAAATCAATCATCTTGGCAGGTTATGTGCACAGAAAACCGTCAAGAAAGATCAGAACTGATCCATGCCCTGCACAAGGACAGGAAGATGTCGAATCTTCCCAAGATAACACAGGTTATTTGGCATCATTCTTGAGTTAATCAGCATGTCTTGGAGATGTTATTCAAATTTTATTCCTCTTTCTTAAGGCACTATTGAAATTCACTTCATCTCTTTGCTGCAGCAAACACTAATAATCTGGGGAGAACATGACAAGATATTCCCAGTGGAATTGGCACACAGATTGAAAAGGTTATTCTGAAGGACTACAATATCTTATCACAACAATTTATGTTTTCTACTCTTATTACAATTCACATCATTTACATGGAAAAGAATTTCTAAATTATATGAATTGGACTGAATTGATATATTCTGAAGATGAGTGAAAGGAGAAAATGGAAGTCATAGACATGAAAGCAAATTTGTTGTTGTGTTATCTTTTCACCTCATAGGTGACAAGTTAGTTTGACTGTGATTTTATGCTGCTCTTGCAGGCATCTGGGAGAGAATGCAGAACTAGTGATCCTAAAGAATGCAGGGCACGCAATCAACATGGAGAAGACCAAGGAGCTTTCCAAGCACATGAAGGCTTTTCTTGCTGATTCGCTTCCTCAGGCTGAGAAAGAAAATTACAACAATGGCACTAAAAAAGTTTGACAGAGATTCCAAACAATGAAAGACTAATCAGTAGTAGCCAATATCTCAGGCTCCTGCATTGGGTTTCCTGTGTTGTATGATGTGATGAACCCTAAAAAAAAAAAATTAAAGTTTTTGAAATGAATTAATTCCTATGTCTATGCCCAAAACAATAGAAATTTATTCAATAGGGTATGTATGATGGATAAGCTGTCATCCCACGGCAGGTTAGTTAGAAAGTCACCCTATTACTGCTGCGCTGCTGCCTTGGTCTGTTCCTTTTTTGGTTTGACAGCCCTTGGTCCATCCAAGTTATCTGATGAGTATTTTTCAGTTGCTAAGATCAAAGCATCATATTTTGGTGAGGCAGAACTCTTAATTTTCCTCCTCAAATAGGAGAGTTGAGTTAGATTTGCTAAAAATAAGGAGAAATTATCCCGTTAAATTTTCAATTAAGGAAAATAATTTACTATTTAATGCATAATATTTGTTTGCTACCTAGGCATATTTTTAATAGAAAATCAATGTACGATAATATCACATGTTAAACAATTTTAATTAATAATTTAAAAAATAATTTATTTTTATTTTTTTAAGGAGTAAATTTATTCTTCCTCTCCTATTTGAGGACTAGTGTATTTAGGAGTTTGGTCTTTTGGTGCTTGTGGCAACCATTTTGATGATCAAATCGTTTTTTCTTACGCTCCTTGCTAAGTTTTTTAACCGTTTACTTCACCACTGAGCTGTAAAGGGTATTTGGTTTGATATCCGTATCCCCTTATATTTTGTCAAATAACTTTCACCCTTGGTCATGCTTCCACTAGGCCTTTGGAATTTGGGCAAAAATTCCTCAATTCAGATGCTAAACAAGATTGACTTGGAGTTGGTGCGGTATTATTTCAATCCTCGTAATCTTTTCAGACATGACGCTTGCTTGTATCGAAACATGCAGATTCTCCGGTCAATTCTGTTGTGTGAGAGAAAGCACTCACCCAAGAACATTCGCATTGCCCTGCTTAGAGAACAGGTTTTATTCTCACTTTATGAGGACTTTTCACTTTGGAACAATTAAATTCTTAACTATTGGCTTATAAACTCATTGTAATATTCGCAACTTCCAGTAAGAGCGTTGAAAATAAAAGGAGGACAACAAAGGAGAACGTCTCTCGTTTTCTCAATTAGGTGGCAAGATAAAGAAACAAAGCAGCCAGTAGTCCCAGCCAAACATTCCCTGCAAAACCAGAGAGAAGTAGAGTTTTAGATAAAATTGAAAAAATACGATTATGATTGGCATACGCATCTTATGTAACAACCCCTTATTTGTATGGGAAACGAGCACATCACTTTACTAAGAAAGAAAATTATTATTATTATTATTATTTGCAGAATTTACCCAATATTCCCAAGCAAAACTTACAAAAGAAAAGAACTATTCCCCTGAACAAAATGCCTAAGATTCAACTCCAGCATGGCTAAGTAACCTCCCGTTCTTTCAGATTTCATCTTTTCTTCTTTACCCAAAAGATGCTCCCTATATGCTCCAATACCAAGCAATTGGGCATCATGCGTTAACAAAAAGCAGGCATACGTGATAAGCATATATCATGTGCCTATCTACGCACAATCTGCTCCTTTTCCACGTCAAAAACGTATTCCACGCACATCAAAAGCAAAACTATATACCACAAAAATTAAAGATATTCCTATCCTTTTTCACCACAAAAAAATAAAAAATAAAAATAAAGATTCCTATAATCTTTAGGTGCGCGACAATAGTTTATAGCCAATATTGGATGACTTATAATTATTATTATTCATAATTAATAATTAATTCAAAATTTTTAATCCATACTGCAATTAAGAGCAAATAGCCGTGTTTTTATAAACATTTCTTTTCAAACAACAATCCAACAATTTAAATTGGGCCCATGAGGCATGATAACGCCCAATCCCTCAAGCCTTGGAGTAATTAAGGCTCAATCTATAAGATGCGCAATATCTAGCTATAGGATCTTGCCACCATCCCATGACTCCTTGCATGACCATAAACACCCCCAATTACCTCCTTTCAAACGTATAATTGCTAATTTGTCTCTCTACAATACAAGAATTTTTCACTCTAAACTTTCCAATCTCATTATTCTAAGCTTTCTATTATTGAAGTATACTTAATTATTAGAGTATTTATCATAAAATTTCAACCTAAGTTTGTCTTGCAAAGATATTGTGTCGACATATGACAAAAGTAATATAATTAGGGTATGTTAAGTGTTGCATTTCTACGCGATTAATTAGCTAATTTGCTTTCTTTAGATGTACAAAATAATAATAAAAAAAATAAAAAAAAATAATAATAATAATAACGCTCTTGAGAACTTCTTACTTTAAGCTTTTTGTCAACGAAGTATTCTCAACTTAGACATTTGAGATCCCACCCCGAGTCCGTCTTGCAACGACACGTGACACAGTAAACGGAATGGTTGAGTCTATGCAATAACAACTCCCAAACTCAACAATTTTCACTAAAATTAATGATTAATAGAGCGAGCAACTGTTTAACACCTAAAAAGGTTGCTGTTCACAAAATGAAAATTAAAAATTGAGAAATTAACTTACATGTTGGTAAAGAAGTGGAGCTCCAAATGACACCTGGATATTCATCTTCATCTTGAATTATCTGGTTTTGGTTATTATAACAATCCGTCGTTGAATTAAAACCGCCGTTGCAGGCACAGATGAAGGAATTTCCACGAGGAGCATACCCACATACACCACCGCTGGCTTCACAGGTGTTGCACTTGTTGTTGATGTAATAATCATCAAACGCACCGTTTGTGTACTTCAACGCCACCCCATACTGCCATTTGCTCGGGTCGGTCGGGTAGTCCTGAAGAGACGCGATGGAGGTGTATCCTGCGCACTTCAACTGGCGGAGGTCGAGCTCACCTTGGGCGTTGAAGTTGGCAGGAGAGTACACGCAGCATGAGTTGGTGGGAGGGAAGAGTGGGAGATCGAGGCTGACGACGGAGGGGCAAGTGTAGATGGAAGCGCAGAGATTGGAGGAGGAAGGGTCACAGACAGGGGAGCCCTTGACGATGAGGGAGGAGGTGGGGGGCGTGCATGAGAGGAGGATGATGATTGATGGTCCGAGCTGGAATGGACTGGCCCAGTCAAGGCCCAAGTTGGGGGATTGTTGCATGGAGTTGCAAGTGGACATGTAGGGTGGGGTGATGGTGACGGTGGAGGTGGCGTAGGATATGGAGGTGATGGGGTAAGAGCCTGTGTGGGTGGTGAGGAGGAGCTGGTCGGAGTTGCAGGTTACGTAGGGGTAGAAACGCGGTGAGCCACAGCCGCAGCCGGTTCCGAACGGGTACTTGACCAGAAGGGATCCACATGTTTTCCGGCACGCCGGGTCTCCGACCACTGAAGTGCTCAAGAGCACTTTGAGGAGGGTGAAGAGGAAGATGATAAAGTCCATTGGCTTAGTTAAGTTGATTGGTGATCTCTATCCGGGAAGGGAAAGCTATGTGGGACTTTAATATTTTCTCTTCAACTTGTTCGTTTTTACTTTTTAGGACACAACAAAACAAAGGCATGATGTAATGATGTTAACAAATAACCCAGGGGCAGAAGAGGAAGAAATCCGTACCAACGAAGGTCGGATGAAATGGTAAACGGCTTGTTTCAGCTTAAGCAAGATCTCGAGTTCGAGACCTTGTGTACGCAGCAACTTTCGTTGGGAGACCCACCCACCATTCTGGTGCGCCACAGCTGGTCGAGTCCGAAATAGTCGAGGCAAAATCCTGGATACCGGGCGGAAAACCAAAAAAAAAAAAAGAAATCCGCAACTACTTTGTAACAGAAGATTTGACGGACAATTGGCCCTTCCACTTCTAAGTATTCGAT